GAGACTACCAATAAAAAGGTTAACCCTTTGCGGATAAGAGGCGACTCTAAGTCGCCATGATGTTTCGCTCGGCACTGGTACTTTAAAGGGTTCCTTAGCTTTTGTTGTTTTAATAAAGATTGAATAAAAAAACACGACAAATTATATGTAAGATCATTTAATTGTACCATGTAGGTTAGGTCATGTTACCTAAACCGGCTGTAAAAGTCGTCGTTCGCAAAGGGTTCAATTCGACACGTATCGTTTTAACTAAAAAGAAATAAAAAAAAAAAAAGAACTACTTATGTTGGTTATGTATACATATAAAAGTAAAAGGAAATGTTCTTTAGACAAATCGCGATTGACATTGTCGAGAAGATTCGTACGAGTTCCTATATTTCAAAGTGATTACATTTCGCATGGATTCGTGACTCCTTAACGTAACATAACTCTATCTCTATCTTTCTCTCTTTCTCCCTTTTCTCCACGTTTTGCTTGGCTCTACCCATTGCCATCTACGTGGGGAAAGGGTGGGAGGGAGGAAGGGACAAGGGGAACTCGACAACGAGGACATTCTTCCTCGACAATACCTTCCACAATCGAGCGAGGAACACTTCCGCGAATACTAATGGAGAGAGAGAACCGCCTAGATTTCTCTGTCCAAGCTTACCAGTTGTCATCCTTCTCTATAACTCTCTTTCTTTCTCTCTCTCTCTCTCTCTTTCTCATTCCTTTTAAAAATCTTTTAAAAATCTTTTTTGAAGTTGGTTTAAAAGTTGTACGAATCGGGAGAAGTTTGGGGGGTTACATAGGTACTCATAGTTCCTTTTATATATACATATATATATATGTTCGTATTCGTTTGATTAATTAATTCGTGAATTTTATATACATTTGTATAAATATTTTTAACACTTTGACTGCCATGTTGGTCATATATGACCGGTCACGGTTTCTCCTGAGACGCCATATTGGTCATTGGTGATCAGAGAGTATGAATTTTTTACAATTGTAAGAAACTAAATGAAAATTGAATGTTAGTGTATTTGAATATGATACTTTGAAATAAAAAATGGCCTATTGAACAATTACAATTTTTGATTAACATTAATTTATTATTATTTTGTTATTATATTCTTTGAACAATAAAAATAATGTAATGGCGTTCTGGGCAAAACATATGATTTCGGCGTGCCAGCCAAAGGATTAACTAAACTCTATCGTATATTAAAAAAATAATAATAAAACAAAATAAAAAATACGGAAGAAAAGAACAAAAAGAAGTTAGCTTCTTAATATGAATATTATAATCAGATTATAAATAAAAAAGTGTGCCATGTCTTTTTAACGAATGGCGTTTGTGTTCAAGGACTAATACCAAAGGCATACGAAATCTTTTTCGTTTAAAAGTTGAAAGTAAAAAAGAAAAGAAAGAAAGATAAAAAGAAAAGGAAAGAAAAGAAAAGAAAAGGAAAAGTAAAAAGAAATTCGCTTCCTTACCGTGCCTCCTTTTGTACGGTTATTATCGTGAACCCAGAAAGAGAGAGAAAGAGAGAAGAAAAGTGAGAGAGAGAGAGAGAGAGAGAGAGAGAGAGAGAGTTACTTTTCCCTGATAGAAGAAGAAAAAGCCGCGAAATTTAAGAATGGGATGAGGAAAAACGTGGGAATGGGTTAGGGGGGTTGTGCCAAGAACGTCTTTGCTTTTCCATTCTACCGTTATCTCCACGCGGTGAAAGTGTGATTGCCTTTATGGGGGAAGAAAGGGTCCTTCGTGCTGGCGATAATGTCCTTGTGGCGTCGACGACACCCGGAGCAGAACGAAGAAGGCGTTGCTATCAGAAATAAAACACGACCTGGTAAATGTGGTGGTGGTGGTGGTGGTGGTGAACGGTTGGTGAGAAGAACTAAAAACGAAGAACCACTCTAAGGAAGAAGGGTGCATTCTTTCTTTCTTTCTCTTTCTCTTTCTTTTCTTTTTTTCCTTTTGTACACTACGAATGTTAGAAGAGCACCGGTATTTAATCGTCAAGATAACATTGGATGATTTTATCAACCAAATATTTTCTACTTTTATTGTTTTTCTCTTCTAAATTTATCATAAAATATTATAGTATGTATTTTTTTTATAGTTTTTTTTTTTTTTTTTTTACAGTCAGGTTAGGGACGTTCTCGAATTTGTTTGATTAATTAATTCGTAAATTTTATTTACAAATTGCATGTTTTTTTTTTTTTTTACAGCATCAATTTAACAGGGATTATTTTATATATATATATATATATAAGTCATCTCAGCTTAATACAACGCAGTTGGATTTAAGTTTTATAGGAAAAAAAAAATAAACAATTTGTTTTCGACGGATTTCTTATACATGACTTTTCTTTCGTATTTTTTAACCTTTTTTTTTCTTCATCTTCTTCTTATTATTTTTTTTTTTTTTACATAGAGACGAACGCGCTACATCATCATACGTATTCGAAAGATATGTGTCTATTTTTTTTATTATAGATATGTTTTACATTATAACTTATTTTACAATTTTTCTTTTTTTCTTTCTTTCTTTTTTGTAGAACGCTCTCTACAAAATGCGTCCTACAACTTTCACCGATGCCATTATTATTATAATGTATCATGAAAATTCGTTAGACGTCTTCTTTTCAGAATTTTATTTATTTACGCTTGCCCCTTCTTCTCATTTTTGCAAACACAACGAGAATTATTTAACAAAAACGGTAATAATAAACGTATCAAAAAGAAGAAACTTGATTGCACGATTTTTTAACAATTGTTTCATTTTATTTATTTATTTATTTATTTATTCTTATTTTTTTTATTTTTACAAAGAAATTAACGAGAAAGATAACTTTAATGACTATTTTTTTTTTCTTCCTTATAACAAAATAATGAAAAAGAATCATGAGAAACATTTTCTTAGCGATAATAATCATCAAAATTATTTCCTAGAAATTATTGTTGATTTTAAACAAGTCATCTATCGATCAAAAATCCACAATCATTGACTTGCCATACCCAATAAAACGATAGATAACTAAAAACGATCAACACAATTACTAATCTCAAACGCAACATGGAAAAATGGAACAAAAAAAATAGTCTCAAACGAAGTTACACATTTTTAGGAAATAAAATTTCGCCTCGAAAAAGTTTCTCTCTTTGTATTATTCTTTTATTGTATTCATTTTTTTTGCTATTCCACTTGTATAAGCACCAGAGCAATTCTTCTCTATAGAAGTGAAAATCAAATAAAATCTATAAAATTTACACAAATGTAGAATAATAATAATAATAATAATAATAATAATAATAATAATAATAATAATAATAGCCAGGAACGAACAACGATACTCCTCCGTTTGGTATCGAACAACAAGAAAATTCGATTTGACGTAATTACATACGTGCAACGGGTGATTCGCAAATACCCTTCTTCCCTCCTCGTGATCGATATTCCCATGAAGCGCACGCGGAAACGTTTACGTAAAATACATGCATACAACACACATACATACCATACATCTATACAAACATTCATACAAACATACATACGTACATACATATATACATATATGTATTATATATATATATACATACGTTTTCGCTGAATAATTTCGCGGGTTGTATCGATGCGTATTCGTAGTCGCGAAAACGCCACCGCAACAAAATAGCCGTGAACGCGTACAGCAGCAACAGCAGCAGCAGCAGCAGCAGCAGCGAGCGCACATACGTGTCGGGTCCGTTCTCGCATCTACGTTAGCATTCAAAACGTTTGGCTTATTTCGCATGGCTACATCCCAAAGAAGAGATTTGCCTTCGTTGGAAGAGGTTTTTTTTTCTCCATCCCTACCCCCAACCATCCTCCCTTTTTCCTACCTACCTACCTACCAACCACCCTCTTTCTCCTACCTCTCACACCCTTTTCTATCTTCCTATCTTTTCTCTTTCTCTCTCAATTTCGCATACAACTCCTCTTCCTCTTCCTCTTCCTACCTTCTTTCTCATCTGTCATTTTATCTCTTTCTGTTTTTCGTGGGTTGGCAAAGACACGCCCGATTCACATGCATGTTGGTAATATGTGGTATGAGAGGGTTGCTTGGTTGGTCTCATCAAAATCGGTCTCACTCTCTTTCTCTCTCTTTCTTTCTTTCTTTCTTTCTTTCTCTCTTCTGGTATTTCCAACGTACACGAATATCTCGCAGAAAGGGAGTAACGTTTCTCTTTGTGGGATTTTCGTAATGCCGTGTTATCGATTTCGACTATCTCTAACTCCGCTAGCTAGCTGACTTTGAAAGAAGAAAATGTTTTTCTACGTTCAAATTTTGCAAACGGATGATCCGTAGGAATCGTGTCGTTGCTGTTTTTCTTTTTTTTCATATCTTTGTTCGTTAGGATTGTCTTAAATATTTACTTTCGCGAATATAATTTGTTACCATGAACTCTGTCAAGAATTCAAATTTAAACAAAGTTTATATTCCTTCGAAAGAGTTACGTTATTAAATAATATTTAATATCTAAAAAGATTAAAAATAATTAGAAATAATTTCAATAGTTTTTATCTTGAAAGATAATAAAGATCGTTGATGATAATAGTTTTTTGTTTATTCAAGATTTCAAAGAAACACGTAAGAGAAATGATGAAATAAACGTAATCACTTGCTTTTTCATATGAAAATAATAAATTCGTTCTAACGAAAAATATCAAGAAGAAAAAGTAATAGTCTCTGAAGTAGTTATTTCGATCACGTTTCGGTAAATGCACTTGACTACTCGCCGGAGTACTTAAATGATACTATTACTACTCTTGAGAAGAGATCTTCATTGAGCGGCACCTACGTGCAAGCCAGTCCTACCGGTTGTCCTGGATACGACAGAATTTCTCTGATGTTCTTCCTGAAAGTGAATATCGTTGTCCTTGATGCTATTTACCGATGGTAAATTAGGGACACTAGTTTGTGGTATCGGTGATAACATTGGTGGGATTCTCCACCAATCGGTTGTCGTCGTTGTTGTCGTTGGCCAACCGGTTGGCAGAAGGTTCCCCCGGAAATTTAAATCCGGGAGAACCGGCAGCGGCCTTCATATGACGTGACTTCGATGAGACGACAAATTCGTGCTTGGTGATGTTAAATTTTGTACGGAAAATACGCTTTCAACTTTTGTCACAGTACTGGTTGTAGTTGCGGATGTTGTACTTGATACTCTTTCCGGTCGATCGGTTGGGGATGAGGATGAAGATGAAGAGAAACGATCTCTCGATCTTTCCTCTTGATGCCTTTCCAACGTCGAAGAACTTAATCCTTCGTCCTCAAGCTTTCTATAACGAGATTCATCTATGGTAGGAGGTACGTCTCGTTCTATCGGAAAAGTTTCGTCCTCGTGTTTACCAGGACTGGAAAAGGGTCTCTCATCCAACTTCGATGGCAAATAAGTCCTTTTAGGATCCTTCGATTGACTACTAGGACAACCACAATTAGCTTGGAGACACGTAGTAGTTGGTAATCCTGGCCAGGATACCGCTTGGTGACTCGAATAAAACGTTCCACTACCGTATAAAGCTTGGAATGCCAAATCCGCAGCCAATTTACCACCGTTCAATTCGTCACCTAACTTGTGTTGAATCGGATATAGGTGATAAGGAAACGGTGGAAAGAAACGTGGTATCTTCAAATCGTCGTGACCTATCAAAGGATGATGATGGGAAGGTGGTGCCAATGGTGGTAATAAACCACGTGATATATTGCCAAGAGTATCGGCAGGTGACATCAACGGTGATATCGAAAAACCAAATTTGTTTTCTTTCTTCACTAAATTTTTCGGTTTCCGTCGTGGTCGGTATTTGTAGTCTGGATGTTCCTTCATATGAAGAGCTCTGAAACAAATATGTGTTTTTTTTTTTAAAAACAAATTATCAAACTTATCAATGAATTTTATTTCCATTTTCTTTCGTTCACAAATACTCCACAGATAATTAGATTTATCGTAAATCAGAATGATTACAGTATCATGGTTGAAAGAGTAGGGTAGGTCGTCGAGCATTTTAGGGATGATATAATCGATGATAAGCTTTGCTAAATACTACTCTTCTAATCCAGCTAATCTAATGGATGAAATAATGATCAATATTACTCGAATAATTTTCACTTTAACGAAATAAATATTAGGGGGAGTTCACGTAACGCCGGACACTCAATATGTCTCAAAAAATAATAATGTGAACAATTCAAAAACGGGTGAAAGGGGTGCGGGGTTATACGATCCAGTTTATCAGTGACGTTCAAGGTAATATCAGAAGAAGCGATCGATTACTGCATCGCGTAAGATTCAGGTAAGTGTTACAGCTACATTTCTGTATATAAGTCTTTATGGTGTTTGTTATTTTATAAAGGTCTTCTTCATTATTATTCGTCGTATATGAATTTTTTGGTTGATTTTCAAAACGGATTAGGTATAGATCACGTAATGTTGGTATTATCCTGTCCCCTAGTACCAGGTAAAAATAGTCCCTTAACGTCGGACAGTGAAAACTACATTAAAAATAGCAAAAGAAAAGTATGAGCAACAAACTAAGGACGTGAAAACCAAAGGAAGAAGTAAAGTAAAGGGGAAACAAGTCAAAGGAGTAACAGCTAACGAAAAAAGTGGAGATAAAGATAAGAAAAAAGAGTAACTGACTGAGATAACTGAAATTGATAGAAATACTTGCGTAGTGTGTTTAGCGGACTACGATGAAGGACTGGATATGGTGCTCAGCTGCCATGGGTGGGTTTATGAAGCATGTGCAGACATTTCTGAATGTTCAGAAGTGTGATTCGATGTCGGATGATTTAAAAATTTCCGATGCTAGTTGTTCGAAATGAAATCTGTCCGATACTAGGTGACACTTCCAGCGATTGTATATTTATTATTGATTTATTATTTATATTTGTATATTTATTTATTAGATAGATTTGTATATTGTTATTTACATCAAAGTTTAACCTCTTAAAGGAACAATTTTTTTTAAAAAATAACCGGCTAAAAAAATCAACTTTGGCTCAACGTGATACAACGCCACTCGAGTTAACTCGAGCGTGCAACTTAAAGGGTTAATTATTATTTTTAAATATTTTTATGCAGAAGTTGTATTTTTGTTAATTTATGTTGATTCTATAGTTAGTTGACTTCACTAATTAATAAATAAAGTTACATTTTTCGAAATAGTTTTTATTTTAATTGCAAAAAATCTTATGGGTCTCCTACTAGGCGACTTCTCCCTTTCAATAAAAAGAGAAAAAGAATAGGATGAATAAAAATTTGTAGTGTGAATCAATTGAAAAAGTATTTTTTTCTATTCTTTTTTTTTGTCGTCTCGTAGAGACTGTTATCCGTATGAAGGGAAGTATTATCGTTACACCGAGAGAGAGAGAGAGAGAGAGAGAGAGAGAGAGAGAGAAAGAGAGAGAGAGAGACGCGATAGGGCTGACAAGAGTATTTGTGGTAAATATCTTGTACACACAACACCCTTGGTGCCTTGCATCAACGTAGAATGCCTTCTTCGTATCTCCATCACATAATACTCCATTATGTACCAAGCGGCGCACAAACGCAGTCCTTATTTATGCTCCAAGATAAAAGAAAGCGAAGGAGAGATAGGTGTTCGTACCGAAAGGGCTTCTTTCTCCTATTTTTTTTTCTTTTCTTTTTTTATTTCTTTCTTATACTTTTTTTTTCGCGGTTGCTTTTTTGCGAGAAATTTTGCCGGAAAGAAGAAGGACAATGGAGAAGAGAAAAAAACTGTGTGATGAGAAATATCAAAATTTTACTCTCTCTCTCTCTCTCTATTCATCTCTTTCTTCATTGTTTAAAAAAAAAAAATGATAATCCTTTAAAATAAATAAATCCTTGAAAAATGTATGACGATCGTTCGGGGGGAGGTTTTGTGCATACTATCGATGATATCATATTTTATGTGTTATATATATATATATATATATTCTTTTTTTTTTGTTAACGTCAAATATTCTTCCTTTCCCCATTGTTTTCTCCTACATATTTCGTAACAAAACAAAATATTCCTGTTGGAACGAGTAAATTCGAAATTTCAAAGTTCGTTCGTTGCTTTTACCGGCGCGAATTGCGCGAGAGAATGACAGAGGACATTGGTATGAGTGAAAGAGAGAGAGAAAGAGAGAGACAGAGAGAGGTAGCGGGAATAATAATTCCGGGACAATGTGTCCCGGCAGATAGCACAAAGCGTAAATCAGCATAAACATCGGTAAAGCCGCGCCGACAATAATTCAGCATAAATGCATAAACATCGGGGCGTAATCTTTACAATTCTACGGCAATTCTCTGGGCAGCCGCTCACGCGTTCTACCACCACCACCACCACCACCATCATCCACCTACCTTTCATCACCCCCCTCGAACCAACCCTCTACCTACTCTTACTCTTTTGCACTTCATCGGGCATCGGGACTTTCAACGACGATAAACAACACCGCTTTATATCATTTTGCTCGACATAAGCTTCAACCACCACCCTGCGGTTTCTGCCTCAACAAGAAACAATATCAATTAATTTCGATTGTTAACGAACTCGTACGAACGAACTTGCTTTTGGGCTCGATTACCTTAACGAATCTCATTTCGTTCTAGCTAAATACGTGTAGAGAAGAGTCTAATAGTAATCCTGATTATTTTGTATTCTTTTCAACCAATTTAATTCGATTAAATCACTAGAGTATAATATCGATAGAAAAATCTTTTAAATAGTATTCCTCTTACTATGTACTATGGTCTATGTATTATGATAACTCGTATTATGTGAAGCAAAAAGAAGAAGAAGAAAAAGAATAAGAGGAAGAAGAAGCAAAAGAAAATGTAGTAAGTAGATATCTTTAAAGAAAGAAAGAGATAGTAATAGCTTAAGCGACTAGAGATACATACACATATATATAAGATCCTTTTTGGTGGCGTAAAGAGAAGCGTTGAGAAGGACAAAATCACGAGACTTGGTACTGAGGGGGGTTTTAGGGGTAGAGAAAGAGACGGTGAATCGTTGGACGGGTAACAGCAGTGTGGAGGTAGTAGGAGAAAGAAAGAGTAAGAGTAGGAGGAGGTGGAGAAAGCGTGACGCGATGAGGAGGAGGAGGAGGAGGAGGAGCGCAAATCCTTTTAAATCCACACAATTGCGACAATGGGGCTTTATTTGTTATCTCGGGGGCCACATTGTGAGTCGCCGTGAACGAACGGACAGATTACGTCGGGCCAGTGACAGCACGGCTCCACGGGAAGCAGGAGCTACCACCACCATCACTACTACTACCACCACCACCATCATCATCACCACCACTACCAACCAGCCATATCGAGAAGCGGCACCAAGAGAACGACTTTATCGTAGCCCTTCTTCTCTTCTTTATTTTACGACGACCACACACACACCACCATATCACCACCAACTTCTACCACTACTATTACTACTCTACCATCATACCATCACCACCACACCTTCAAACACCACACTACCACCCATCATCAGACTTCACCACCGATATCGTTCTCTCTTCCTTTTCCTCCTCCTTCTTCTCACCACCAGAAAAGCGGATTCGCCCTTACGCGTTTCACTTCAAAATTTTACGTAGTACATCCACGATGTTTATCCTTTTTTTTTTCTTTTAACCCCCCCCCCCAACCCCATATATTCTCTTTGTTTCTTTTTTTATTCCCGTCAAAAATTTTCTATTTGTGTGGTATAAAGATTTAAATGAAATGTTAATTATTTTATCGTAGATATAAATATTACGGCGTTGATCAGGTCAAATGTAATTTTTTAGAGTTTTTTTTTTTTTTTACTTTTGCGAACGTCAAACGTTTCTTTTTCAATTTTGACGAAATTCTTTCGGTAAAATTCTTCATAGGAGAATCACTCGTATGAAAAATCTAGTAATATTCGTTCATATATACCTACTTACCCCCTTCCCCACACCCCCACACCCCAGTGGTTCCTCGAAATTTCGTTTCTTCTTCCTCTTTCTCTCTTTTCCTTTTCCTTCGTCTTTCGAAAAGTGAAATGTAGATTCGCGGAACGGATTGGAGCACGAGATAAGGCCGATCAATAGGAAACGATTCGCGTTTCCCCATTGAAGAATACGCAGCGGACTTTTATAATTCCTCTTTTCATTTTATCAGACCCATAACCACCAGCCAGCCAGCCAGCCAGCCAACCAGTCAGCCAACCCAACCAGTCAGCCAACCCAGCCAGTGAGAAAAGCGAATTCGACGTTTACACTTCTTTTTCCCCCCTTTGGAAAAAATTGTCGCTAGCTTATCCTCCCTTACCCCCATGTGGTGCTTTCGCGGCATTTCATATAGGCGGATGATATCAACGCGAAATAAACGAACACTTACGATTGAAATCGAATCTCCAACATAGTACTTAATACACTCTTCGAATAAAAGAAAAAAAAGAGAGAAAGAGAAAGAGTGAGAATAAAAGAAAATTGTTAGTATTATTTATAACAACCCCTTATTATTTATTTTATGTTTTTGTTTCATATTGAATAAGAATAGAAATCTCTCTTTTTATATTATAATATAATAATAATATAATATATAATTATAAATATAATAATAATTATAAATTTAATTAATATAAATATTAAATTAATATTTTACCCTATTATTTATCTTAGGATTTTTTTTTCATATTGAATAAAAATAGAAATTTTTCTATAATATAATATAATATATAATTATATAAATATAATAATAAATATAAATATAATAATTATAAATATTCAATTAATATTTCCCCCTGCCATCCTATTATTTATCTTAGGATTTTTTGGTTCATATTGAATAAGAATAGAAATTCTTCTTTTATATTTTATCTTGATATTGTTAAAGTTTATTATCTTTGTCTTCATGGATTAAACAAAATGTTTTAACTTAAAAGAACATTTTTATTATTATTCCCCTCTCCCCTGTTATTTATCTTATGATTTTTTTTTTTCATACCGGATACCTATAGAAATTCTTCTTTTGTATTTTATCTTGATCTTTACTATGTGTATTGTTAAAGTTTATTTATTTTGTCCTCAAAGATGAAAGATAATATTTGAAAGTTTGTTTTTCGAACAAATGATCTCAGAGTTTGGACTTTAACCCATTGGCTGCCACGATCCCCATTTGGGGATTTTGGAATTTTACGTACACCACTCGGTTTTATGTAGATTGTATGGAAAAATGGCATAATAATAGCTATTTTGTATGTATAGAATAATAATAAAAGAAATAAGTAATAGTCTCTTATTAGTTTCTTTTTTCGTGCAACCAGCCACAATCCTAATTTAAGACTTTTGTAAAAATATAAATATTTCTGCGATGAAAAATAATTTGACAGTTAATGGGTTATGTTTGAAATTTAATACGTAAATAAAAAAAAAAAGATTTACAAATTGATACAAAATATATATCATTAGAATAATTTAAGATTTGTGTTAGGTGAACTGAAATGAATCAATCGACAATTCATATATCAGATAACTAAATAAATTCTCATAACAGTGATTAAATATTCATGATCGTTAATAAAGAAAATCCTAAGAGCATTCTTTTTCTCTCTTTCTTTCTTTCTTTCCTCGTTTCTCCTCTGTAAATACCACCCTATTATTCTCTTGGTTCAACCCCCTAGCTTAACGTAGTAGCACGCCCTTAGCTTTAGCAACAATGTATCGTATTATGAACTACTACAAGCCTGTGTTCATCCCCCTTTCCTAGTTTTTCAACCCCATGGCATTTGAAGATACGCCTCAATGCGATCATCTCGCTGAAGTGTTCACAATGTCTAAAGACCAATTAGACTCGGTGGAGAAAAAAAAAAAAATAAAAGAAGAAGAGGAAAAAAAAAGAAAAGCTGTCCGTTGATTCAACAACGAGATACCCTAATCTTTTAATTGTTTTCGTTTGATCGAGTGAAAATCGATCATCAAATATAATATTATTGAAATTGAACAATCGACGAATAGATTTGATTTTCTAAAGGGGTGGAATGAGGAGGTGAAGGGAAGCAGAACTTGCAACGAATTCTTTAGATGTCAAATATTTTTCATCGATCGATTTGAAATTTTACGGTGTTTTGTTATTCAAACGCGTATACAATTGAATACATGAGTATGTGTGTACGTGCACGTTATGTGTACGTGTGCGCGTTTATTCTCAAGCAAACAAATAATTTTTCATTTAAAAAAGATTTATTATATAAAACGCGTATTTTTTAATGGTGGCTTTTCAAATTTTTATCATAAAGAAACGTTGAAATATTTGTTACTAAAAAAAAATTAATTAGCTAAATTACTAGGTAACTTAATTTACTTAATTTACTAAAATTAGTCAATTTTAATTACAAATAAATGTGTATTAGAGTGTGTGTGTGTTTTTTTAAATAAACTTACCTTAATCTTTTAGCCTCGTCAATGAAGGGTCGTTTGTCACTTTCGCTTAGTAGCTTCCATTCTGCACCAAGTCGTTTAGAAATTTCCGAATTGTGCATTTTTGGATTTTCCTGTGCCATTTTACGTCGTTGTCCACGGGACCATACCATGAACGCGTTCATCGGCCTTTTAATGTGCTCGTTGTGTATCGTTTTCGACGACATTCCGACGGTGTTTCTTCACTTCCTGTATGAATTCCCGCGTAACTCAAATCACGGACTATGCGCGTTTACAACCAAACTTTTGACAACTTCGTATCAATACGATACACTTACTAACATGTCATTAAAATTAAAAATAAACATTAAAACACATATATATATATATGATTATATATATATATACACCTTCTATTTCTTTTCTTTTTTTTCTGTTTTTGTTTTTTTAAATATAAATCAAATAAAAAGTTCTTCGAAATTTATAAACGTATCCATATCTTCCTGCATTATCCACTAAAAATGTTCCAATCGTTAAAACGTAAACTTTCTCAACAAAAAAATTCTAAAAAATAATTATAACTCTGTTGTTTTCAACGATACAAAAAAAAAAAAAAGAAACGTCTTATACAATTAATTTCAATTTCTAATTAAATTTGTTCACTTCACGAAAATCGTAGATCATCAGTTTTTCCCAATAAGAAGTTACGTTTGAAGGACAGTTCCTTACAGAAGGGAGGATTGATTTTCAGTAACGATTATAGGAAACAAAAAAGAAAAAAAGTAAAAAAGAAGGTTGGAGGGATAGGATGAAAATGAAGAAAAACTTTTTCTGAGACGTGTGTACACGAGAGACAATCGCGGATCGTAGCGAGAGCGTGGCAAGGACTGTGGCAGGATCGGTGAAGAGAGTAGGTTTACGATGGGTGAGAGGTGTACGGGGAGAATACGCAAGATCCCCTGAACGTCGAGTGGCCCGACTCCCGTAGGACGTGGGAAAAGTTCGTTCTGACGGCCAACCAGACGAGTCCTTTTGCTCCCACCATCCAGCATGGCTAATGGACACCCACGATTGGCTCCTGCGTTGACATGGCGAACCGAGGATACCGGCGCATGCAACAGGTGGACCAGGAACGTATATTTCCCTTTCTCTCTTTATCATTGTATCTATCTTTCTCTTTCTTTCTTTCTTTCTTTCTTTCTTTCTTTATTTCTTTCTTCTTCTATCTGTCTGCTGTTTCAGTCTATCTTTTTTCTCGTTTTATCTCACCAACCCATACAGGGACAAAGTCACCGAGTATATTCTTTTAAAACATGATCCTGGCATTTTTCTTTTCTCTCTTTTTCCATCCATTCTTTTCTTTTAACACTTTAGCAACCTGCTCGATGGATGTACATATCATTGTTAAACCAGGGAGCATTTTTCCATGACCGCATTTATCCTAACAGGTTGATTATCGTACAACCACGATTCTTCATCATTCCCGTACCTTTATTGTTCACTTTTTACCGATCAAATCACTAATTTACAAACAAGTGTGTTATTCATTTATTTATTTTAACACTATCCAATATAACTYACTTCAAGTTGATTATCGTACAACCACAATTTACCAGAACCTTTATTTTTCACTTTTTACCGATCCAATCGTTGATTCACAAAAGTGTGTTACTTATTTATTTATCTTAACACTATCCAATATAACTTACCTGTTAAATATTTTCAATTTATAAATTATTCCTTAGCTGTTATTAGATTTATTCTTAGATAACGTTACTTGGGTTATCTTTAGATATTTTAAAGGCTACCTTTTATATATATATWTTTTTTTCTTATTTAGTCATAAGTACGATTCGAGTTAAGAAATGGTTCGTGTAATAAATGTTATCAGAGCGCCTGGTGCTGTCTCTTGCCGTAAAGATTGAGATTGCTCAAGTAAAAGAGGAGAGGAAGGAAAAGAGGGACAAGAACGGGGTCTCTCTCTCTCTCTCTCTCTCTCTCTTTGCTGTTGAAGCTGAAGACATTTCGAGTGATAAGGCGATAAAGAGAGTATAGGTATAAAAAGGGGAGACAAGAGAGGGACCTTCTCACTTGCAAAGAGGTAACATTCACACCCCCCACCCCGTCACCCCCCTCCTAACCCTCCAACCTCTTTTCCCTTCCCCTTTTTCTGAGAGAAACCATCTACTATAAAGCACTGTCCGTAGTCAGCAGCAAATTTCCGGAAAGTGCGAATACATTCATCCCTCCTCCCCCTACCCCTCTCCCTCAAAGGCAAATAATAACCTTTGCTTGGCTTTCCACCAGTTAACTTGCTAATATCTTTTTTTTTTTTTTTATTATTCTGATAGAACAATTTTGTTCAAATATATTTCGTTTCTTTTTGTGTGTGTGTGTGTGTGTGTGTGTGAAAAATAATTGTTAATGATAGATTTTGAATGAGAATTTTAATACGAAAGAAAGTTCATTGAATAGTAATTGTAACCCCATGTTCATCGAATGAATATCCCATAACACTGTATAATAATAATAATAATAATGATTATCGAAACACAAGAGTGAACTTGGTTATTTTCTAAGAGGAAAGGCCTTTTTATCGTAACCCTCGTTAAGCGTTTCCCGCTTGATCAAATCGGGGCGTGTGCACATGAATTTTATCGTTCGACACGTGAAATAAGAATAAAAAAAAAGAAAAAGAAAGGAGAGGGGGGAGGAGGGGGTTTAACCCAAGGGTTTGATCTCTCACCGATACGCTTCTATGCTTCACAATGTATACAATCAAATGTGTGTATACGAACGGTTTCAATTAGTTTCTCTGCGTGTAGTTTTCCCTCTCTTTCTCTCTCTCTCTTTGTGGGTTCTATGAAAAAAAAATAAAAAAAAAAGGAAACAGAAAAATAATATAAAGAAAATCTCTCTTTCTATTTTTTTCTTTCTTCTTCTTTTCGAGTAGGGTGACGTTATCTAGGATGGATCTAAACTTGCGTGAACTGATAAGATCTTTTTACGGGTGAGATAATACGTCGTCGAGAAAAAAGAGAAGGGGGGAGAGGGCATATAATACGTGTTTGTGTGTGTTATGTGTTAAACAGAGAAAAAGATAGAGATATGACAAAATGGAGAGTGAAAAAAAAAAGAGTAAGTGTCAGAGGGTGGGTATGTAAGTGATTTTCCAAAATCGTTTGGACTTTTTTGGAATCCAATTGGATGCGTGAAGTAGAAGAACAAGTAGAATATGGGTATATATACACACATACACATATATATTTGTGTATATTATATGTATATATATTTCTCTCTTTCTATTACTCGTTCTCTCAGGATTATCGGCTATCTTCCTCTCTTTGGCAATAGGGTGGCCACACGACCGCTGATTATACCATTCATCGTGCAGCATGCTTCGAAAGAGGGTTGTCGGCGGATCTGCAAACGCCGTACCGTGATCGTTCTCCTTCTCCTTCTCCTTCTCTTTCTCACTCTCATGCTAGTCCCTGTTACGCCCTTGAATGCTCGCTCATCAATGAAACAATCCGGCTTCCTTGTCTCATCATTCGGCTTCTTGCTTTCGAAATATCGTCTTGCAAACGTGTCCTCTTCTTCTAAATCAAAAGAAATTATTACACCGTTCTCTTATTATCATCATCATCATCATCATCATCATCATCATCATTTCCTATTACTTTTTCTTTTTTTTCTTTTCATTTTTTTTAAAACAACATGGAATCATCAATTCAATGTGAAACGAAACTATCGCTTATCTTCGAATAAAACAATTTGACTTTTGTATCCTTGAATTTTTGTATCGAGTGAAAAAATTGTTAAAAAAGAAACAAAGAGATAGAGAAAGAGGAAAGGGTGGGTGGTGGTAGTGGTGGTGGTAGGGGAAGTGTTAGGATACTAGGCCAGGGGTTGTGCTGCAGTTCATACACACAATGAAGAAAACAATGGCGTTTGACAATGGACGAGGCATCATCGTTGCGATTGCTGAAGCGACACACAACAACAACAACGGCAGCTTCGACTGCGCTATGGGAGTACGGTGCTTGAGAGTAGAAAGAGAGAGTGTGTGTGAGAGAGAGAGAGAGAGAGAGAGAGAGAGAGAGAGAGAGAGAAAGGATGACTAGTTGGTAGAGAAGGCAGCCCGTCGAAAAGCTCACTGATTACTCCATTGTCGGCACGGTTGTTTCAGTTAATCGCGACGCTCTGCGTCGTTTTGTTGTCCTTTTATCGCACAGTCCTGGCTAGCATTCTTCGTTCACACCCAGAGCTCTTGTCTAGCCAGCCTCATCATCGCAACTATGTATGATGTATATATAATATATTCTATATAACACTATACATTCATACTTTCATTTTGGAATTTAAAAAAAAAAAAACGCAAACTTATTCCATCAATATTTTAATGTATTTTTATTTCTTTTCCTCTCTGCCGTATTTCTTTTATTATTTTATTATATAATTTATGTATATATATTATATATTATTATATAATATTATATATATATATATATACTAGGATACTTCGGTCACGTGTTACTGTGGTTTTGTTATAAAATGATAATTTTATATAATTCTAAACTATTTAGTAAATTAAATAACAACACACAAAATAATACCACAATTAAAATAAAATAATAAATATATAAAAATTAATAATAAAAGTAATAAAAATATTAGCGATAAAAAATAAAAAATAATCGCGTTAGAAACTTCGTTTATTATTATTCTATTATTTTTTTTTTATTACTTTTTTATTATAAAAAATTTATTGGAAACCAACAAAATGACACTGAATTTCTATATAGAAAGATTATTATACCCGTATTTATCTTAAACAATTTATTGCTTTTATACCGTTAAAAAATGTTCTTCTTAATTTGTTTTTTTTCTTCAAATTTTTATAGAAGTATAGGTAGGTACAAAGGTAGGATACTTTATCGATATTATTTAGATAGGAATAAAAAGTAGTATAAAAGAATGTATTCATGAGTCATCAGTATTTACTTTACTCTAAGAAATAGAGATAGAGAATGAAGGGGAACTGATATAAAACGCAAACAGTCAAATATACCTTTACACCCAAGTTCATACGTATTTTTTGGATGGTTTACATTTTATTCAAAGATATACACCTAACATATACGTGGGTTAAATGATAATAATGGAATGAATGGAAAGAGATGTTAGAAAAGAGGTGGGGGAGGGGGGGTTTGATGATACCTATAAT